TTACCGGCAGTTGGCCTAGAAAACTCACACCTGGCCGCCATGTCCACCGGTTCCCACTTTGACTTTTCGATGCCGTTTTTCTCAATGAAGGTATTTTTTCGAATTTTTTCTTTATTTTTATGGGAATCTACATGAATTTCTGCACAAAATAAAGCAATAAAATTTTTCACCGCACACCACCTTTAAAGTTTGCTTTTTTCAACTTAAAATATATGAAAATGATATGTTTGGTCAGTACTGTATCTAAGGAATCAGACTGTTTAGGATGGAATATCAGAATAACTCATTGGTTTAATGTCTGCCCAAGAGAAGTACTGGAACAATGTTGATACGAATAATACAATACAATTGAAACGGAGAACTTGCAAAAAATAATACACCTCGTTAAGCCTGATATTTTTTAAAGAATTGAAATGAACTTTTTTTAAAGACGGAGGTAGCAGAGAACATAATTTGTTTCTTTCTCTGGCGGTAACAGAACAATCTTTGAATTTTATATAATTTTTATTATTTGAAACAAACGTTTTAAAAAAGCAAGTTAACAAAAAATTTCTTTTTGCTTTCTGAGCTTCAGCGATTATTTGATTTCGAGCCTCCATAAACATCTGTTTGACACTCTTGACTCCTTCTTCTGCTTTCTTTTCCGCCTCTTTCTTCACTTCACGTCGTTCCATCATCATTCTCCCCATTCGATCGTTCTCGGCTTTCTTCAGTTCTGGTGATTTCTTTGTTTTAGTGGAAGTTTGAATATTCTTGAAGTTCGTGGAAGAATTGGTCAGCACTGTTTTCGATTTTGGCACGAATTTGGCTGGATTCGTTCTCTTGGAGGCAATGAGTCCCATTAGTTCGTCGTCTGAAGGTAATGAATCGGATGACGTTTTCTTCGAGTTGGGCGCGAGATCAGTTCTTTTTGGAAGCACGGCGGTACGAGATTCAGAAGACATGACTCGACGTACGAAATTCTTTTCATGTTGAACAGAAGTTAGATGTACGGTTGGAAGACGAGAAGAAGATCCAGTTGTTTTGCATAACATTCGCCGTGCCAGTTTTCCGACTTGTGGACAATGAACGTATTTGGTCACCAACTCCTTGATCTTCTCCTCTTTCAGCATCGCGAGTGGATAGTTTTGCTCCAAAAGAGTTTGGAGACAGGAAGGTACCGTGTTGAGGGCAGAGTCCAGATCGTAGGCAATGACGGCTACTTGATCACACATATCGTTGTCGGTGAAGGACATATTGATGAGTTAGTGTTGAGTTTTAGGGATCTGAAAAAATACAATTGGATAAACGAAATAAAAAAGATGAAGAGAGAATATCAGAATGAACCATAGATGAACGATCTAGATACTGTAGCACGAATGTGAAAAGGAATCATCTGGAAAGGAAAATCAAGTGAGAAGAGAAGAATCAGCAGTAGTTTTGAAGTTCAAAAAATAACATCGATTCAGTCAAAAAGTACTGAATTAAGGGAAACGGGAGAAAAAGGAAGAGAGAACCGGATGTGAGCAAGAGGAGTGAATGACTAACTATCCCAAAGTATTCCTCACGTTAGGTAAGGGACGGGGAGATATTGAGAGGGAAATGATAAGATAACTGAAAAGCTATGGGGATAAGGAATCCAGCAATCAAAGGATTCAGAACTTTTTGATATACAGGAAAGGGTATTTCAAAAATTTAAAAATTTTCGTTTTTTCACAATTCCAGAAAGTTCTGGGACAACCAGGCAAATTTAACCATTGGGAATGTAAAAAGTGTTCACTATGTTGAGTTCAGATAAAAAACAGAGATGTTGGAATATCAATAATCCAAAATTCATTATGCTATTTTACTTTTCTATCATTCATATTGGATAGTGAGTAAAATGTAAAGTTCAGAATCATATATTCGAAAGTTGAGTCTTGAGATGTTAAGCGTTACTGTAAGACTTGATTTTTTCTCTAAATGGTGTTCGAAAGAGTTTGAAAATCACTTGGAATGTCTTCAGAATTTGGATTTAGAGGCTCACAGTGCTTGGAGACCATGGGACCAATCATTTGATACTACCAAAGTACTTTTTTTGAAATTTTTTTGGTCTTCGGATTTTTGAATTTCCAGATATCTAGTAACTTCAGAATCCTGTTTAAAGAACACTCGAAAATATCATCGGGACCCTCTAACTTTAGATTTTGGATGCTTTGAGTTTATAGCGGTGATTGTTTTCTCAATTACCCACATTAGACGCTTCAGGAATTTGTGTCACTGGACATGAAAGAGATGTATTCTTTTCGTGTAGTACTCATCTCTTTTCCATCGGTCTTGCATAATAAAAGTTTAAGACTGTTGATTGTTTTGGCTAGGACATATAATAAAATAACTGTACCGGCTTATTTACGGTTTTAATGAGTATTTTTTGAAATTCCAATCTACAGTACACTCTGTAATATTGAAATCCCTCAACATGCCTAATCTCTGGCCATCAAAATCCACGTGTTCAGCATACCCATCTTCACCTTGTCTTAAAAACCATGCAACAATTATAGCGTATACGAGATATTAAAAGAACTGCCAATATTACCATCTGCTTGTGGCTTCACCTCATACCAATGTTCAGACGGAATATGATGAGGATGGAGATAGAAATTTGCTCCTGGGAAATATCTCATAGGGTTGAGAAGACCTGCCTAACACGGCA